TACGCACAAACTATTGGATATAGCGCACATTTATCTAGGTTTAATGTTTAAACATTGTTATATGCTTGAACTGTTTTATATCTATAGATTTTATTTTAGGCAAGTCGTGATGATTTGAGAAGGCTGAATTGATCAAACATACAGACAGTATGCTCACTGTCTGCCGTTGGCCGCTTGGTCGTTACTTTAAAAAACAAAAACTTATATTTAACGAACAAAAAATGCTCCAAACGTTTTTTCTAAATTAATTTAATAAAAAACCTAAACGAAATATAATCACTTCGCCATTACATACAAAACTGAACTAACTATTTTACTGAAACGTGCTGGGGAAAAAAAAAAAAAAAAATTTTTAAAAAGTGGAGACGTGCTGAAATGGCGTTTGGTGTCGTACTGTATCGCGTACCTTGTCAGTGTCGTGCGCTTTGCTTGTAGCTTTTAGTTTTAATTACTTTTTCTTATTTGTAAGTCGCTTTGGATAAAAGCGTCTGCTACATGACTAAAAGTAAAGTAAAGTAAAGTGAAACAGTAGTATAAGCTGTTTTGGGAGAAGGGGAAAAAAAGACGGGCTCGGGCCGGTAATTCTGATAAGCTGTCGGACAAGGGCCGGGCTAGGGCCTATATTTGAGGCCCGTGCAGGGCTCTACCAGGAACTATGATGAAGCAGTGCTGAATATATAGTGTTATGTCAAAATACTCATTTATTTAATTTTAAATTAAACAAATGTAATCCTGATAGTATTCCCACTTTTTACAAAATGTAACTGTAATCTGAATACTTAATTTTTTGATGTAACTGAAACGGATTAGTTACTAGATTTTTGTATCCTGATTACGTAACGCCGTTACATGTATTCCGTTACTCCCCAACCCTGCTGACTACAAACTTGCTGATCTGCCTCCTTTTAATTAGCAAAAACCCTTTTCTATGACCGAATCAATTCCTGATTTTTAAAAAAAAAAATTTATAAGCTATTTCATTTGAATAGAAGAAATGTTGGCCACAGTTTTCGCTTCATGCTTATTTTATGTTAAAATTAAACTTACCTGATTGTGTGTGATTTGTCTGTGTGCATGAATCATTTTTGTCTTTCTTTTGTCATTCTACAATTCAACTCAGTTATGTTATGCCTGATTATTAGCTTCTAGAGCAGGCCTATTTATATTGTTAGAAAGGATTACAATGAGCAAGACTTGAACTGATATCTTCACGTAATATTGTAAGACGGATAAAATCATCCGAACTTGCCATACACAACTTTTGGTGAACTGACACCACTTGTTAAATGGCTAGACAGTTAGTCAAGACTATTAGCTATTTAAAAAATGACCAAATTGTTTTTCTCACTCACCTAAAGGCTCATTGAAGAGCGTGAACTCAGCATCAATGGCAGAGCGAGGAAATGATGGCAGTCGCAGAAGGTCTTCCTGAAGCATGGAGACGTGGGATTGTTTGTGCACAGCAGGCATACGCTGGGTAAGCGAGATGATGAACAGAACACGGCCAATCTCTTCCAACTTTCTAGAAAACACCTGCAAAAAAGAAGTATGGTTATTTGTGCTATATCTTCTTAACTAAACTAAGAAATTTGCTCTACTTAAAAAGCGACATACAGTATATGAATTCAACAATGGATCATAATTTCTAAAGCCACCTTCATATTACAAAAAACTCCATTATGTGAGCTGAACCTAAGTTGTACAGTAAAAACACTTTCTCCCTTAATGCTAAAATTCACAAAACTCACCTGTTTCTGAATGAGCTCCTGGCCCTTCTCTGGAAGCATATGAACCAGATTAAGTTGAGGAGACACTGATCTTCTGAAAGGGTAGATGTCTCGCACATAGGTCTGATGTAGAGAGGCATACCAATTTTCAGTCAACATACAAACAATCTGGTGTTTACTATCAAGAATATATAGTATCTATCCTTTGACATTTGTAGATTTGTTCAGAAACAACCATAACCCACCTTGGCATAGTGTATAAGGTTCCAACGCTTATCCATCAAAAAATAGTTAGCAGACCGAGCCTCTGGAATATTGAAGAATTCTAAACACTCCTGGTGTGAAAACATATAAGTAATAAGGAAAAGGATGTTATATTGTCAAAACATAGTAAAATAATGATAACAAATTTACAGCTCTAACAATGACCTTCAAAAGGGCTTCAAACTGGGTGTCTTCATGCACTGGTAACTGGGTGGGTATGTCACACTCATTCTGTCCATGAACCACCAGGGTTTTGGTTCCTAGGCACACAATTACAGGCACAGTTATAAACATGAAAAAGACACTAGTTAACTTATTGTCTGTATGGAGTAATGCTGAAATATGCAACCTGGCATGGAGGCAGTAACCAGAAGCTTGACCTCACACTGTTCTTTCTTCATAGTCTGTTTAAGGTCTTTAAAAAAGAGCCCCTCCACATAACCCACAATCTCCCACAGAAAGGTCAAAGTGGCTGATATGGCATCCATGCCCCACTCACAGGGAGTCCTTACAAAGTACATGATCAAGCCCACCTAGGAAAAAATGAGAAATATAAGAGATTGCACATGTCAAGTTTGATATGTAGATCCGCAGAATCCCTGTATCTCCATCCATTACTTTTAAAAGAATAGTTCTTGATGAATGTGTGTTTAGAAAATTAAAATTCTGTCATCATATGGACACCCTGTCATTCCAAATCAATAAGACTTGTTAAGACTGGTAAGATAAGACTGGTTAATCTCAAAACACAAATTAGGATATTTTAATGAAAACTTACAAGATCCAATAAGGTCATAAAGGCATTGTAAACTTAATCCATATGAACTGAGTGGTTTAATACAAATCTTGTGAAGAGACATGATCACTTGTTATGATGAAAAGATTTATTTTGGCTTTTATTTACATTTAAAAAAGGACATACACACACACAGAGAAAATATCACATAAGATAAACCACTCGACTCATTTAGATTAATTTTACGGTGCCTTTATGACTTTTTGTATCAATTTCATTCAATGGAGGGACAGATACCCCTCAGGTCTCATAAAAATATAATTTTGTTTTGAAGACTAACCTAAGCCTTAAGGGTTTGGAATGATATGAGAGTGATTAAAAGACAACACAATTTTCATTCTTTGGAATTTTGGATATTGCAAAAAAAAATAAAAAATTGTGCTTTACAAAAAAAAGCTCTTCACACTCAAATAAGTTCTTTATGGCACTAAGAAAAATTTTCCTGGAATCCAAAATATTTGTTCTATGGAATTTCTGAAAAACCCTCTTTTTGGTTCTTTTTGGCAGCTTTATTATTTTTAAGAGTGCGCACTAAGAGAGCAGTCAACACATTAGTGTTGAAAAAGCATGCTAAGGTCTCACCAGATAGTTGAAAAGAATGTGCGAGGTCTGTGCAGGCAAATCCCCAATGTTAAGAAGCAGTTTCCTCAGCATGTACATCAGTTCATCCTGTGACCAATAACCATCACATATGTTTCATCATTTAACAGCACGTTCATATTTTCTTCTCTAAAAAGCATGACTTATTTAGTGACCTTACCTGTCTATTACTGACTGTGAGTTTCTCCAGGAAATGTCTAAGAACCAAGGCTGGATCTTCAATCAGGCAGTTCCACAAAACCTGCTGAGCAACAGCACATACTGTGGGAACACAAAACAAAGAAATAAATTAGTGTGAGGGTCTAAAAGAGCAGTGGGTAAAACTGTTCTCGTTTTTTAAAATTCTTCTTTGCCACTCACCTGCAACTCCATCTTCCCGAACTTCTCCATCTTCCATCAGGTGCACAATGGGCAACACAGCAGCACAGATGCATGGTGGGAAAACAGACTGGGGTGGCTGCAGCATGTGATGTGTTGGTGTGAGTTCTGTTGTGTTCTCATCATCTTGTAAGGTAAAACAAACCACATTTATAAAACAAATTCAATGACGGTCTATGAATATAAGATTTTATGATTCCTTAATCTGTACCTAAACATGTTCATGGTGAAAAGAGTGAACAGGTCAGTGAATACAGCAGTATGTGAATATACATAATTTGGACTGTTTCTTACCTTCAGCACTGACCACTGACCGCACTGACCACACAGAGCCCCTGCGGAAGGAGTAGTTTCTGTGGGAGTTACTGGAGGCACAAGAGGGGCTGACGGACAGACGACGTGATGTCAAGTTCACCACATCTTCTACTGACAGAGAAGAGGACACCAGATATTATATTTATTCATAAACAGCTCATCTCTATGAACATGTTCTGAAAACCCATGAGGTGTAAAATTGTTTTCAGGATTGATCATTGGGCTTAAAGTGAAATCAATGTTTCAAAATCAAATCCTGACAACCTTCACTTACAGAGGTCACATCATACTGAAATCCAATATACAGGTGCATCTCAATAAATTAGAATGTCGTGGAAAAGTTCATTTATTTCAGTAATTCAACTCAAATTGTGAAACTTGTGTATTAAATAAATTCAATGCACACAGACTGAAGTAGTTTAAGTCTTTGGTTCTTTTAATTGTGATGATTTTGGCTCACATTTAACAAAAACCCACCAATTCACAACAAATATTGAATTTATTTAATACACGAGTTTCACAATTTGAGTTGAATTACTGAAATAAATGAACTTTTCCACGACATTCTAATTTATTGAGATGCACCTGTATATGTATATATGTGTGTATATTTTTTTTTATTAATGACCACTTCCCACTTTCTTTCTGACACAAGCCGTTTAAGACTTACAGGGAAGTGTCATACACCAAAAAAATACTGCAACATATTATTAATATCACTGAATCAAGCTAAATACATTCATTTATACCAAGTCTTTAGATAATAATAGTACTTAACAGTAAATGTCAGTGGTTATGTATATATATATATATATAGTATATATGTATAATTGTTCTGAATTTCCTGCATTTAGCAAGCTAAGTAGGTAACAAGATTTTTTGCCAGCTTAGTTACAATCAATGCTCTTTTTGGACCATGTTTTTAGCTACGGGAAGTAACTGTTTTCATAGTAAAATGAATCTGAAAAGATCAAGGAAATTATTATGATATAACCCTAACTGGTACAGCACAGAAATGACACACCTTCCTCCTCCTGCTCAGGTGGTGGACTACATGTGGGCTCATAGCAGGCCTCCTGAGCGATAGGGATGGCCGTGATGACGTTGGCCTCACGACCGAGCCTCCTCTTCTCTTCCTCCTGCTGCATGTTCTTCAGGATATGTTCTGCCCGTTGGTGAGAGCGAGATACTGCTCGTGCCGAGAATGATTTCTGAAATGTATAGGGAGCAGAGAAAGAAATGAATGGTGGAAAACAGGAAAATATCTTGTGTAAAATTTGTGCATGACCATTTTGCCTTATGGCAGCAAAGTTTTGATGCAGTAGGCCACAAAAACCTACAGATTGATCTTCACTGATTGCATCTGGAACAGTGCCTGCATTAACAGGAACCCATGGAGGGTCAAATATAGGCACACAGGGCATTCCCAGGATAGGAGAGGGCAGTGTGAAGTTAATGCTGGGTGGAGGAATCTATGAAACAACATCAGTATTGATATTATTTTGTTATAATGATTGAAAACAAAGTAATAGAGTAGAATATGCATACTGCAGGTAAATTGTAAAAATCAAATTGACCTACCTTAAATATCTGCTGAGCCCCCTCTTCCATCCGAGGCCACACTTGGTACCGGAATCTCCAGACAGTGTAGAATTTCAAAATGGAGTTAATTCTCTGACATGCTTCCTGATGCTGAAACTCAGCCATCATCATTTCTGTCACTCCATCCGGAACCTTCACCGCGCACAGCAGGAACAGGGCAGCTATGTGTTTGCATGATTATGGACATAGAGAATCATTTTAAGAAATGAATGGATGAATATAGATTGCACAAGTTTTGCATTGTGTTAAATGTGTAAAAAAAATCCATGTGCTTTAAATGTAGCACAGTTGACAAAAACTGCATTAACTAGCTAATGACTAGATTCCTCAGCAAGGGAGGAATATATTAGATAGACAGACCTGCAGCTGCAGCCATATGTTCATCCACACTCAGCAGGAGCTCCCATGCTGCAGGCAAAATGTCTCCATACATGTCCTCAGTCAGGATAGGGGCTGCTTTTATAAGCAAGGACAGAGGGGCTGGAGATAGACTCATTACCTAAAGGAATAGAACATAGTACACCTAACACAACTAACACGCAGTCTTTATGGATTTGTAACAACAGCAATAGCTTGTACACCAGTAATGGACAGTAACGAGAGACCTGGTTGCGGATGTACTTTAGCATGCCAGTGTCTTTTTTCCCCTCAGCACTGCTGTCAGTGGGGCGTCTCTTCATGGATGGGGTCCGGAGGCAGGATTTGTCTGAACACTGAAACAAAAAACAATTATATACTGTACTTGGGCAGGCTGAGCTAGTAAGGGCTCATTTAGGTTGCACCTGAATGCCTTTAGTCAACACATATGGTACAGTGTATTTTTAGGGTGGCTTAAAAGATGCAAATGAAAGTGGCATTTTGATTCCATTTTGAAATGAAAACTGCCAGTAGATGAATGCTTGATGAGTTGATGAGTTATTAATTCATTCAATGTATTAAAAGGACTGCTTCATTCAAGAACAAAGCAAGTGAAAGTGTCACTGAATCATTCGCTCAACTGATTTGTTTAAAACACAGATTCATTTGGCAGCTAAACACCACTGTGTGTTGACTGGAGATGTACATTGTTGAGGCTTTGTTTCAAACCTTTTTTGCTGGCAAAACAGACAATATCGTGTCTAAAATGTTTGCTAATTTTGCTAATATTCAGGAAAATAGCACTCCTGCTGGTGTGATATTGCTTAACTATACTGTATGTTATAAATATAAAAAATATCAACACGTGTGGCCATTTTTTACACACAGATATTGAATTTCCTTCAGAAAACAGCATGTTGGTCCACACCAATTGCCTTGTGGGCAGCACGCTGACATACAGCACCTTTCCGCTATGGGTGTCCCGAGTTCGAATCCCAGCTTGAGGACCTTTCCCAGTCTCACCCCCCTCTCCCTCTCCTGTCAGCGCTAAACTGTCCTATCATAATATAGGCAAAAACGGTAAAAATAAATCTTAAAAAAAAGAAAACAGCATGTTGCGCCCTTTTTTTTAGAGGGTTTATGTATAAAACTTGGACAAATAACTAACAATGCCGCGTTGTGACTGCACAATAATTAAACAAAAAAAAAACTTGTTTTATTTTTCTATTATTCTGTTTTGGGTCAACTTGAACACTGATACTGTACTACAGAAACACTGAATATTATTTAACCACCTCTTTGCTCTTCTTGGCACGGCCACTGATATTGCCGGTAGTGCTGTTCTCTTTCAGACTGTCTACTGTCTCTCCATATAGAAGTTTGATGGCACGGACGAGCCGAGCACATGAGCGGCTGTGGTGCTGATAGCAGCGAGGGTGGCAGAAATCCACATGAGTGCAGATGAAACTCTGCTGGTTGCACAGCAGAATCATGATCTGGAAATTGAGAAAGAGGATTGTATCAGACAAATATCAGACACATTTATTTCACACAGGGAAAAGTCAGAGTGCTGGTACTTACATGTAGCCAGGACATGTTGCGATGGTAGTTGTCCTCCACACCCCCTGTGCTGCCAGGACCCTCAGGTTCACTGCTTGGCTCGCTAGCACTCCAAGGGCTCCCTAAACATATAACACATACACACATTGTAATCAATGAAAATAAGTTCTTATTTATGTTGTAAATTTTTGGTTTACTGCATAACTGTTAGTAATGTGCAGAAAAGCCTAGATTTGCATAGTCATATTTGTTTGGCATATCTATTTGTGGCAATGACAAAATGTATGTTTTAGTTTTGGAAGTGGGCAGTTATATGTTTTAGATATATTGCTTTGACGTTATAGTTTTCATATAGCAAATACGCCTTGTATTATCCAAAAAAATCATGTAAATCAAGCTAAAAAGGTACATAGAAGCTTGAATCAGAAATATAATTATATATAGAAATAAATCCCTTTTGTTTATTTATTTATTTTTTAGAAATTTGACCCCTCCTTATACAATGTATACAAAAACATTTTATCATATATCTCTCACTCTGAAGATTTAAAGCAGCAGTAAAAACCTTTCAAATAGCTCAATGTTACTCTTGACAAGTTAGAATTTCTGAGACACATTCAATGAAAGAACTGCAAAATAGCCATCCAGATTGAAGTTAAAAACACACCTTAAATATCTTATGACACTTAGCTTCACAAAGTGACCATTAAGTTATAATATGTGCATTTAGATATGTTTAGTAAAAGCATTACATTATCCTTGTGTTTGCTGGGTCATCCTAACAAATATATTTTTTTCTATAATTCAGCAAGTTTAATTATTCATTTGCCATTTTTTCCCATTATGCATGTCTCCCCAAATAAGGTTTGGAAGCTTTGGCCAGCTCCCTAATTATGACACTTACAAATTTAACATTAAAGCCCTCAGATACATGACGTCTAGCCAAAATAAATTCATATAGGGCTGGAGAAGGACTGTCTGACCTATATCAGTGACAGTATCTCTACTCTGGGAGAGCAGCCGTTCCGATTCTGCGTCATTCTCAGACTCAGAGTCCTGTCTGGACATCTTAGTGCTTTTCAGACTCCCTGCTCGGCGGATAGAAGATAAAGAGCCTCCTTTCTTTAGTCGGAAACTCCTTGCTCCTTTAATTTGTAGCAACCGAGAGCCACCAATACGGATCTTTCTAATTGGAGCTGGGGAAAGACGAGAAAAAAGAAAATGGTAAATCAGACTTTAGCCTTGATCAATCATGTAGACAATTATTCCTTTTTCATTTTACCCAGAGGCTCTTGTGATGATTTCTTTTCCTCACAGCCAGTGTCAGACTTGAGGGTGTGGCTGCTGCTATTCAGAGAATCGTGTCCATCCTCATCATCCAGGATTCCTGCAAAGCTGATCTTCCTCTCATAGCGCTGACGGCCTAGCTCAGGGTCCAGACGCAAACGACAGCTCTCTAAATCCTATTGAAGTCAAAAGACAAGCCTGTTAAATGTATTCTTTTACTGTGCGATTTTAAATCCGCTTACCCTTCAATCATTAGTCAAACAGGCTGAATACACAGCAAGGCTTCAACTGAGATATTCATTTGCCATTCCTAATTCATTTCAGTACATTTATTTTCCTGTCATTCCAATTCAGCATCCTGTATTGTGGCCAAATGAATACAAATTCCAAATTATGAACTGAAAGAGAGGCATTGTCATTTACATTTAGTCATTTAGCAGACGCTTTTATCCAAAGCGCCTTACAAAGTAGAAGCAATCAGACCAACGAGAGAGCAACAATATACAAGTGCTGTGACCAGTCTCAGTTAGTCTAGCACAGAGCACATAGCAAGGTGTTTTTTTTAAAATAAATTAGACCGAATAGAATAGAATAGAATAGAATGGGTACAAATCTTTATTCTGCCATACACAGACATAATGAAAGATGTATGGAATGTTTTTATGAAGATATGATTTTATCAGATCTCTCTGAATTGTTAATCATAAAGCCACGCAAAACATGTGGAGAAAAAAATTAAAAGCAATTTGTTTTCATTAAAAAAATTTTTTTTTATTTATTTTTTTATTTACTATTTTTGTTTTAGTTTTTATTTCAGTTTAATTTTATTTATTTCAGTTATTTTGCTGATTTAACTCAAACTTTTTGTTTACGTTAATAAGATAATATTTTTAGTTAATAATAATAACAATGTAAAAATTTATAAATCTTGTCTGAGGGAGACAATACCAAAACTGACCACAAGGGGCTCTGTTCTGGGTCTGGGAAGACAGGGAAAGGTCTCTCGCAGAAAAATTAAAAGCAATTTCAGTTTTCATTAAAATTTTTATTTTTTATTTTATATTACTATTTTTGTTTTAGTTTTTATTTCAGTTAAATTTTATTTATTTCAGTTATTTTGCTGATTTAACTCAAACCTTTTGTTTACGTTAATAAGATAATAGTTTTAGTTAATAATAATAACAATGTAAAAATTAATAAATCTTGTCTGAGGGAGACAATACCAAAACTGACCACAAGGGGCTCTGTTCTGGGTCTGGGAAGACAGGGAAAGGTCTCTCGCAGGAAAGTGGTGATCTCCAGAAGCAGCTGACAAGCAGCCATCTTCAGAGCAAAGGGACATCCACACTTTGTGGGGTTGACTGTGTCTGTTGAAAGAATCATAAAAAACCATCAGCTAAATGCTCAACTATTATATTGGATCTGAAAAGTCCTATGTCTGTTTGTTTGATCAGCATTCATCATCTCCACTCTTACTGTCATCCAGATAATCTTCTTCCTCATCCTCCTTTTTCACTCTCCTCTTGCTCTCTTCATCATAGATAAAACCCAAGATGTTGGCTGGACTCTCTCTGTCTGAGTGGCAAATTTCACTCAGCCGAGTGCCTATCGCCTTTTCAAGGATACATATATTAGATGCAGACAAATACCACATATGAATTTCAAAAAAAATTACATAAGAATGTTTTCTGCAGGAAAGACTACATTTGCATATCTGTCAGCATGATGTGACTCACATCTCCCCACTGGTAAAAGTGTTTGGCTGCGTTCCACTGGAGCTTTGTGTTTCTTTTGTTTCCTGCTACAGGCGATCGTCCTCTGGACAGCCCTCTCTTAGTGATGTTCACATGGTGACCTTTCATCCACTCTGGCCAGTTACCACGGTTACAGCGATGCACAAAACGAGCACACTCCAGGAAAAGCGAGGCCCTTGACACCACGGGTGCTTCCTGGTGAAGACATTTAGCAAAATTAACAAGACAATATTCGGTTCCTTATTTTCTCTGAAAATAAAGGCCAATTTTTGACCTTGATTTAAAGATGCATTTTTATGTACATTTTTTAAATTGAATGATCAGGGTAAAATGTACTTATTTTGTCTTCTGGGAAACATGTAAGTATTTAAGTAGCTTCTGAAGTCCATTACTAAATGAATACGTTAAACAAAATGAGAAGAATTTACACCATTATATCATCATCCTGTTCAAAATTTTTCATCCCCCGGCTCTTAATGCATTGTGTTGCCTTCTTGAGCATCAGTAAATGTTTCCACCTTTTGTAATAGTTGTGTATGAGTCCCTCAGTTGTCCTCAGTGTGAAAATATGGATCTCATAATCATACAGTCACTTTTGGAAAGGGTTCAAATATGCAGAAGATGCTGGAAAACCAAAGAATGTGCAGGAGCTGGAGGATTTTTCTGAAGA